GTGTGTGTGTGTGTGTGTGTGTGTGTGTGTGTGTGTGTGTGTGTGTGTGAAAAAAAACTAAAACCTATTATGATTTTCTTTATTCTGTGGAACACAAAGAAAAGATTTAGAGATATGTTTTGTTTTTCTGTTTTGTTTTTGGACCCCATTGACTTTGATTGTATGGACAAAAACAGTTGAAAAAAAAAATCTTCAAAATATTATCTTTAGTGTTCCAAAGAAGAAATTCAGTCATACATGTTTAGAATGCAATAAGGGTGAGTAAAGGATGACAGGATGGATGGACTTTCCCTTTAAGGCCACTTTTAACCCTAAGTTGAAACAGATCATTTGATTTGAAAATAAATGATAACTGATCATTAGAAAATTTGATAGAGAGCAACATTAGGTTATGAAGTCCTGATGAATGTCATTTTCCAATAATCTTATAATAGAGATTATCCAGATAAAAATGAACCCATCAAATAGACCTTGTGGTGAAATATGAAATATGGTATTATATTTTGTTTATGCCTAAAAATAGATCAATAATTAGTGCTTTCTACTTCTGTAAAACTCACCTAGAGGACAATTCTTTTGTTGCAAATAATTTTTCTGGCAGTGTGGTATCATTGCAAGACCTCTGAAAACTTGTTTTTCAAAAACAGCAGTTGTAAGCTTTTACTTTTATCTATTTTATATTAAATACGCAGAAATTGGCACAGTGGTAAATAGAAACGTAATACTTTTTGAACCGCTGTCCTACACACAAATGCATTGCTTTGAAGCCGCAACAAACAAGTGAGGGACAAGTGTATTGCCGAAGACGCTGCCGCTAAAGAGAATGGACATCATGGATAAAAGTACAGCATTATCAAATTGAAGGGCTGCGGATGAAACATTCCACTGGAGTCCGCAGAACAAACTCATTAGCCAGTTAAAAAGGAGAGGAGTGCTTTGAGACTGAGATAACATTTATCTGTCTAAATGACAGACTTTCTGTCTGCGCGTCATCTTCCATTGAGGGGATTAAAGTTTTAAATATGACTATTTACAAAAGTCTGGAACGCAAGATAACAAGAAGAGACATGATATGCCAGCACTAAATGCTAGAATTAGGACGTGGACTAATTGGGGATTTGGACTATGAGAATGAAGTACACTCAATGCTACCTTTCAAAGATGTGTGAGCGCTCTCTGACAGCATGTTGAAAGAGAAAAAGTGACCTGTGACGCACCGTCATGACTAAAGGAATGCTAATTACATGTGCTTCATGGACGGGACTTTTGGTATTGTGGGTCTGACATGAGGAACGGATGTCCATTCAATAAAACAGATGTTTTAATGCAGTTGTTTGCAACTGACTTTGCTTCAGTACCCAGATTTTAGAATGGAAATAAAGTGGCATCTCAAAATTTTTATCGTATAGCCTAAAATTATTAATATCTTAACAGCACATTTTCTGTAATTTTACCCTTTTTTTGGTAATTTTTGGTCACCAATTTTATTGTAGTAACAATAAATGTTGTAACTGGTATTTTTTATATACTACAGTTGCCATGGTGCATATTTACAAAGGACAAATTGCATAAAAAATGCAGTGTGTAAATAATGTATATTTTATAGAAGGATTTGCACACATTCTCAATCCCAGTAAACATAGCTTAAGCAAAGTAAAAAGTGTTGTTTAGCCTCTGCCCAGCCTGTTCTTATGTCTTTGCTATTTTAGTTCTGTCTAAACAGATCAATCTGTCTGACCAGTGTTTATTTTGGCACGACACACTGTAGTGAAGACAATGAGAGGTTTAAATTAAATGCATCTTTCCTCCCTCTCTCTTTTATCCATGAATTCAAGTACATTTTTGAATCTGTCAGTGAGTTTCTTCCTTATTAAAGCTGGAAAGAAAATAAGAAAGCTTTATAGCAACATAACTAAAAAATGAAAGTTACAGGCTAAAGGAAACTTCATAGTAATAGCATTTTTAGAGAATGGGCTGCAGGGTGCTGTATGGACAGAAGACTGTGGTCAGGCTTCATTTAAATGGTGCTTTCTGAGGAATCTGTGTGGCTATCAAGTCTTTGCCACAAGGTGGTGATGTCCTCACCTTTGAAAGCAAGGTCTTTCAGGATCATTCATAAAGATAGTTTGATTGATTCTCCGTTAAATAGTGTTTGTTTCTGTCAGTGCTGCAAATATTAACTGGGATTAGGTTTACTTTTTATTTCAATATACATATATGCATTATCTCATATATACCTATGTATACATATACATAGTGTGTGTGTGTGTGTGTGTGT